AGTGAAGTTTTACATTTTGTACTCTTATACTTTTTGAAGTATGGCTTAAAATGCACTTTTCTGTGTGGTTTTGAAACTATTTGTTTTTTGTCTCTCAACATTTATTGCTAGATGTGTTTGGCATCCAATTAACACTTTTCTTTTGCTAATGCATGATCTTACTGTAGAGTATCAAGATTACGAACGGTACAAATTTGAGAACGCTGAGAATCGGTGCACCTGAATATCTTGTCAGTTGGAGGTTATTTTTATATGATTAAATCTCCTCCATTTTGTCATTATATTTCTGCAAAAAAAAATTATACTGGCTTAAAATGTCCATTTCAAGGAAATTGATTCATTTGTCTTGATTTCAACAGTGAATAAAGATTAAAAAATAAGCATCCTTTAATAAGAACACCAGAGTGCTTTTGATATATTAGCTGTATTTGTCAATGAAGTGGTTTGAGCATTGTCTTGGAGCCTGTGATTTATTTTGTTCTTTATGTTTCTGTGTGTTGTTATGAGTTATTTCACGAACACTTTGTTGGAAGAAAACAAATGAGTTTACAACTACTGTAGGTGAAATTGTCATCTTGGCTGCTGTCAAGTTGGCAAAGGTTCTGCTTTGCAGGAGCTGGAACGTATTGGCCAGCAAAAGTGTTGTGTTTTTAAATAGTTTGATAGGAAGGAAGTGCACTCACTGTATCTTTTTTTCTCTAGGAGGACAGCCCCATGCTCAGATTAGCACTCAATACAGTAGAAAAAATTGCTGATGTATAACAAGCTTTAACAACTTGCTTATGTCTTGTATCCTAGTATAGTGCTTTACTGCAAGCCTTTCCCAACTTCTCCTTTTGGCGTATTAGAAGAAGGGTCTCTTGTTGGTGAACAGATGCTGGTGATTTCAGGAGAGTGTTTTTTTCTTTTAGAAAACATTTAGACGGCTAAAATAAGGCTGTGTGTTTGAGAGAAACAGCTCTCTTATTCTGGTTGTGTGTAAATGTACTGTAGGCTCAATTCAGAGAGGGTCCAGCTGGAACTGCACTTTGGCACGTAATCAGACCTGTCTGTGGCTACAGCTGCTGTGTGGCTTCATACAGTATGTTGTATTCCAGTATCTGTACATCAGGAGCCCAAACCCAGCCTTGTTATCTGATGACGTTCATAGTTTTCCGCAGTCAGTTGTAGCTATAATGAAAGATTTTTGTGTAATATTGTACTCGTAATGCCTACAGAAACTATGTGAATGTATCTGTCGATCCCAAACAATATTGTTCTCTGTGCAAAGAGAAGATGAGAGACTAATATTGTTCATTTGTTTTCACTGTAATTGACTAAAAACATTTCCTCCTTTAAAATCTTTACAATTATTATATATAAGGGTTTGTACAGAGAGACTGGTGGGAGTGTTGGCAGTTCTTCACTCACATCTTCTCATCAGCTCCCCTGAACAAACTGCAGCCCATTTAAAAACAACGTACAGATATTGTTAATTAAGTTGTCTTATAAATGTGCTTGCAGTCAAATATATCCTTCTTGCAGGTGGAAAGCTTTACTGAGTGCAGTGTGTTGACTGGGTATTCATATACTCTAATATTTTAAATGTTTTTAAATTAATAAAAAAAAATTTAAAGATGTAAACTGTGGGAAATGCATAATTTTACATCTAATTAGAAAGTAACTTGCATTATCCATGTACCCTGATAAATGAAATGTTCACCACTGCAGTTGTATAACATTCCTAAAAAAGGAGTACATTTCAGGCTGCCATTGCCTGAAATCACTGCCATTTTCAAAGTGTCTGCTGTACATTATAAAAGAGAAGAAAGGTATTGATCGGCCCAGCAATGCAGAGACATTCATCTAGGGAATACAGTGAAAAATATTTTGTACATAAGAATTTCCATAGTCTTGAATGGTACCTTGTGCATGCACACTATCTATAGCATTATTATTCTTAAATGAATATATTGAATTTACATGTAGATGTTAAATCGAAAATATAATTGTAATTTACTGTTGTACAGTATCCAACTGTACAAATGGCTTTGAACTATGGGCAGAGATGAAGACTTAATTTTCTTTCATCTCTATCCTCTTAGGTTAAGTCAATTAGTATAATTGCTAAGTTCTGTGAATCCTTTATAAACTGATCAATGATTGTCTCTGATTCCATTACAAAGATAAAAGATTTGTTGCCAACTATTTGTTCAAGATTGTATTCAATGCATGGGGATTTTCATTAGTGCACCTTCGCTGACGTTTGTTCTGAATAATAAAACAAGGAAATGTGTTTTTAATTAAATTAGAGACTTTAAGGTAATGAGTGAAATGAACAAAAGTACAGTAGATTCCATTTGTCAACTTGACAGTTAATTGATAGCATGGCTGAATGAGATTTTGCAAGATCTGGAGCTTAAAAGCATGGGGTCTTGTAATAATTAACAGCTTTATTTGTTTTTCTGAGGGGAATGTCATTTTTTATAAAAAAATAGAACAGCCACAATGGTTAGAAAATTAGAACACTTCTCATACTTTTCCTCTAGCTTTTTCCCAGTGCTCTACATGTCTCTCAGCAGTGGAGTTTAAATTAATTTTCAGCCTCTTCAGAGAAATCTGAACCACTTTGCATGATCCCATTCTAATCACTTCTTCCACCACATAAACAGCACTTCCTTGTCAGATTTGACTTCTCCCTACCATTTCTCTTATAGACTTATTACATTGGCTGTATTGTCTGTACTGCAGGCTCACTGGAACTGTAGGCTGCAGGGATTTTGTAGAGTTTGTGAAGTGAAATTTTCCAAATTTTCCAAATCATGGACACCTGACACTTATTGGGATATTTGAAAGTGAATCTGGTATTCTAGCCAAATGTCTCAGGTACTTCTTATACACAAGAATACTTCACATATTGACTCATTAGAATCCTTGTAGACATACAGTATATGCAGCATTTTGTGAAAATCACAGAAGAGACTGTTTAAAATGATATATTTTTAGCTGCTTCTGTGTAACTGAAAAAAGGAGCATTAAAGATGCTTCCACCATCTGCCTGTAAGAATCTATTTTTTCACTTTTCTGTTAGGAAGTGAATTGATTTTTCTTTGGTGGTTAGGCCTCAGACATGGTTGTGTGAGTCTTTCACAGTTTTGCACAGTACTGTATTGTTTCCAATACACATTTTTCTTAATGTCATGCCCAAGAAATGAAAGTTTGCTTCATGGCTCTGGAATGTAGTATCTTGAAAAAATATAAGGAAGTAATTTCTTTAACCAGGTTTTTATTGTCTCAGCCTTAAAGTATCTTTATTAATAAACTTCTTTAATCTGTTTCTTCTCTGCTTGTGTGCATTGAATCAATCCACTGATAGATTTCTCTACTAGCATAGTGTGTTATACTTTGTTTTTTGTTCTTGTAATCTGCTAAGTACATTATAAAGTATTAAGTACAAATCTAAAAAAATGTTTAAAAAGTACATTACTTCCAAAAATATCAATATTGAGAACTTCATGCAGTATCTCTACAAAGTGGAGATCAAAATTTAGTCCCTCTTAAAAGCTCTTAATATGTGACCAATTCATGATGAATAAACACAGATGGGAATGACAACATACTGTATCAGACATTCCCACAGTGGGGTTTTTTATGCTTAAGTCTAATTGGCCACACTTCAGCTTACACACCTGAATGAGGGCACTTTTGAAATTCACTAAATAGTATGTGGTTGATACCAATGGCCCATCCCATTTAACATTTTAAAACCCTAAAGCTACATTTTCATGTGGACCTTAAACAGACAAATCAGTTGTCAGGTGATTAAGAAATTGGCTGGGATTGAGAACTACTGTTTTTGAGGTTTCTGCTATATGTATAACACCAAGAAAGAATGAATAAACTAAAATCAAATGTAGTAGTTTTACAAATGTTCTGGATTATAATAATAATTCCTTACACTTATATAGTGCTTTTCTGGATACTCCACTCCTAGGGCATCACAGGTAATGGGGACTCCCCTTCACCACCACTAATGTGCAACACCCACCTGGATGATGCAACAGCAGCCATAGTGAGCCAGTACACCCACCAAACATCAGCTATCAATGGGGAGGAGAGCAGAGTGATGAACTCATGGGGATGGGTTTATTAGATAGGGATTATTAGGAGGCCATGATTGATAAGGGCCAATGGGAAATTGGGCCAGGATGCTGCGGTTACACCCCTACTCTTTTGGAGAAATGCCCTGGGAGTTTTAATGACCACAGAAAGTCAGGACCTCGGTTTTATGTCTCATCCGAAGGGTGGCGCCTTTTTACATTATAGTGTCCTCGTCACTATACTGGGGCATTATGACCCACACAGGCCACAGGGTGAGTGTCCCCTACTGGCCCCACTAACACCACTTCCAACAGCATGTTTTGCCCAGGAGGTCTTCCTTCCAGGTACCGGAGAGGCTCACACCTGCTTATTTTAATCCTCCTTCAATTTTGTCTTCATTCTTTTTTTAACTAACTGACTAATGATACACGTTATAGTGTTCTTCATAGAAGACCATCTTTTACTAACCGTTGCAATTACTCATAGGGCACTGAAATGTATAATATGAATGGGATTACACAGTCCTTCTAAACTTGTATCTATTTGGTCTGGTTTGTGAGGTCCCAGATTTTTCACCTGCAAGGCAAATTAATTCATATTAAAGTAAGACTGAATGAAACTCAAGCATTCACGTAATGAAATGGGGCTAGAGCACAAGATTGTACAGTCAGGCAGCCTTTTGTGTTTTTTTTTTATAAATTTGAATTTCAGACCTCAAACCTTTTGTGATTTAAGACTTGAAGCTTAATTCAGAAAACATGAATTAACATGAAGTTAGTCACATTAGTGTCTTATTAGAATGTATTTAAGATTTAGATGTGATGTAGAGTAGTGAGCAGGAGAGATAGCCGTATGAGTCAACATTTGACTTTTCCAGGGTAACTAATATGAGTTAAAGGATTTTTTTCTTTATTTTCTAGGAAATTAAACCAGAAAGAGAGTCTTCAAGAAAAGAGAAACATCCAGACTTGTTGCCAGGTAAATATTTGAAAAATGTTACATTGTTAGTGTTCCTGTGTTTTAATACAAGCTTATTTTTTGTGTGAATCTTAGTAAGATGCATGTTTCAATCTTTGCAGATGAATATATGGGAAAATCGTGCTCTGTTTGTTTTAAACACTCTTTTTTATTTGGTATTGTGTTAATGTTGATGCTAACAGTATTCATTTTTTCAGCTTCACAAACAGAAACACAAAATACCAAAAGAAGGGAACAGATAGAAGTGAAAATGAGGGTTAAATTGCTTTTTAACAATCACTCTTGATCTTGCAGGAGAGGTAGTTTTCTGCAGTGCCACCCATGTCTTGAAGTACACACAGGATGATGCATCACAGCGAGGAGTATATGGGACCCTCGTCTGCACCAACTTCAAGATCTCCTTCGTTAGTGATGAGACCCCCATGGAGGAGATGGTAAGTACTCTTCAGGAAAAGAGCTGGTAATCCTATATGATCAAATATCTTTGTGTTCTTATCTGTAAACTCTCTTTTCATTAATTAATGTGCCGTTGCACAACTGTCCTGGTAAAAGGTGTACAAATGAGTGTGCCATCACAATTCAGTTAACTTCCTCATAAACCGCTTTTGTGTATATACAGTATATGTATTCCTAGAATAAAGGGTTATCGGGACACTTGAGTGGCTCAACCAGCAAAGGCACTTGCTTAGAGTGATTTCTCAGCTTTATAGCCCAGATGTTGCCAAGTTTGAGCCTGAGTCATGTCACTAGCTGACTGTGACTGGGAGCACACAACTTGCAGAGTGGCACCCGGAGTACGAATGGGATTAGTCGGCCAAACCTCTCCGTTATTCGTGAAACTTTAAATCCTGCAAGTTTCTGGCCACCTGCAGATTTGGGTGATATCAGTCAGAAGCACCATTCCTGTACCTGACTCCAAATCTTTTGTCAGATAGTATGGAGCTTTGACTGTGTTAAAATATGAAAGGGTTGATGGGTTGGGGGTTGGAGGAGGCTCTCTACACTTCCTTAATGTCTCTGTGCAGGACAGGGTTAATCCTGTGGCCTGAGCCATAAAGGAACTGTTATTGATTCCATATTGGCTGGGTATAAATGTAAATACAATAGAATAAATAAAATAAAGGTTATTTGTTCAGAGGTACAAAGATACTGAGTGAAGAACAAAATGCATTGTAAAATGCAGCATTTCCAATTAAAATGACTTCCCTTAAAATTCTGCATAGGTCAGATCGAGAGCTCTCAGTGGTCACAGACTAGGAAATATTTTCTTTGAAAAAGCGTTGCAGAAGAGACTATAAATTGTTTCGATGTTTTAACGGAACTTGCTTATTGGTTTTGCAAGATATGCTAGCTTGTGGTGCTGAATTCTGCAAACGCAGGCTGTGGAGACATCATAACTCTCCAGTTACTTCCAATTAATTACAAAATGCAAATGAACATTAAAACTAACTTCACAAAGCAACCGTTGGAAATATTAAATTAGGCCATCATAAAATAGTCATTTTTACTGCTACATTGGGATATTACTGAGAAAAGGTAATTTGTTAAATTAAAATGGATTTTTGCGTTTTAATGAATCTTTACCTCTTTTAAACACCTTCATTCATACTTCTGAATAGAAAAAATCTCTCTAGAAGCCTATGTATTATCAACCCAGCAAAGGTTGCAAACGGTCATTTTATAGAACCATCATGCATTTAAGAGGAAGGAAAAGGAGGCCTGTTGACACACTAAAATCGTCAAAAACATGCTGTCAAAATTTCTTTCACATGTTCAGCTCAGTTGCAGTATGGCGCACACTGCTGAAACTTCCACTTCTTGACAGCTTTCATGCCACGGGAAGTGCCTCATATTGCATTTTTGTTTCGATGTAATCACATGCATAATAGAAGTAGATTAGTGTCTGATGCTGACAATGCTCAGTAAAGACCAACTGCTTATCTTTAAAGTCTACCAGTATGATGTGTTTTTGATATTCGTGAGCCTTTTAAAAGAAACTTCACAGTGGCCTAGGAACTTGACATGCAAACTTTGGAACAGGATGCAGATGCTAGTGACAAACTCGGTAGAATGAAGCGATACATTTTGATGTACCTGAAGGATTTGCCAGGTTATGTGTTTTTGTCTCAGTATACACCACATGTACAGTATTTCACCTTGTTAAGAGTATTCTTAGAACACATGCTTCTTTTGCATTTTCACTGTGGTGCTAATAGTTTTACAGTAGTTGGACATTTTATTTAGCTACTGTACCTTGTTTTATTTTATGATTTTACAATTGATTGCTGCCGAAAAAGCTGCTAGCTCATCAGAGATTACATCCTTATAATGCTGCAGCGTTTCTGTGAAAGAGCAGACTTTGGGTTTCCAATGACTTTGTTTGTATGGGAAGATCCTGGCTAGATTCAATGATGATATCAATAGTGTAGTCATGCCTATTCATTGTAATTGTTAGATGAGATGTAGCAATTCCACCTATTTCAATGCAAGTCTTGTAGCATCTGATATGACCAGCTTGACAGTAGTATGAATCGGATTTGTCTGTTTTGGTGGGGTGACAGCAAGACAGGTTTGCTAAGTACATACTTTTGATAAACTGATTATACTGCAGCATTCTAAAATTCAGTTTTGCTCTTGCAATTCATTTATGTCACATTTGCATGTTTTTCTTACGTTTGATAACAATGCCACTGATGTGATAAGCATTTTCATTCATTGGCAAATGAGGGCAGAAAACAGGTGAGGAATCATAATGAGAGCTTATGCAGCCTGGGGCCTACAACACAATGCCACACCTTTTGATCAGGTGATGCATTATCATGACTGTATTTAATACTTGTTTAACTTGTTGATAGCCTATCTAACATTTAAATATTAAAATGCAAGCTTTATGCATATTTACAGTGTACAACAAAAAAATAACAGAACTAACTTTATTCTTTAGCTGAAATATCAGCTCTAAGGGGCTTAATTTCTATTTTAATGAATAATGTTCTACGTTCAGCCAAAGCAGACAGGATGTGGATTTTCTGGTTCCTCAAATGGTCAACGAAGCTGCTACTCTCTAGACCCATTTGTTTTGCTGTGGATACACAGCATTTATAAATAAATATAATTAATTTCTGTGACTTCTTGTTTCCTGTCAGCATCTCAACAGTGTAGTGTGAACTGAAGCCTTCTATTTTAGTACTATAATTTTTGCTGCAGCTGAATAGAACAGGATTAAATTCTAATTTTGACATTGTTGGGTCATTGACATGTCATAGTTCTGTAATTGAGCACAGAAACTTAGTAAATCTCACAGGTTCCTTTTCTGTCAACTTTTGGAAAGGCTGGCTTGCTTTACTATTTTTGGGAGTTTAAGGAACCTGACAAAAGAGTTATAGTTTGTACCAAATAAAATGCAGAACATAAAAAAGAGCCAACAGTTCCTGAGTCCACTGTGATAGACTTCACCACAGCGCCAGAGCGGGTAGTTAAGTGAGATTGCTCTGACTGATTTTCTTCTGAGAACAAAGATTCTGACGTCATTTTTCTGTCGATGAAAAGGTGGCACATCTGGGAAATGGGGTTTGAGGACAGACTTCACTTTCCTCCCTCTGTGGTTTGGTAAAGTTTGAAGTGTGTCTGAAAACACTATAAAATGAAAGGCAAGCCCACAGTGATTACAGTGAGTTGTAAATGAGAGCATGCACCACCATGCTAGAGATTCTAATAGCATTTCTTTTCTTCTCAGGGGTTCTTCTTAGAGGTTGAGAGCCAAATGGATGCTTTTTGTAATTAGTTTTTTCTCTCAATGTTTAGTTAAAAAGTGGATAATATCAAATATAATTTTATTTTCTAGCCTCAGCTCTTCAAGAATAAACTTTATGGAGAAAACGACATCCCTCTGACATGTGTGGACCAAATATATGGAGGTCTGTCTAAATGTTGCCCAAAATCATTACTTATGTCTATCCATTTAATGCTTTGGTCCTTCTTATTATTGGCAGATGTAATTTTTACCTGCTTAAAACTCAAAACACCCACCCCGAGTTTACAAACATTCATGTGTTTTGCTATAACAAAGCAAGCTTGTCATTACCTGTTCTTCTTTGTTACAGTGTTTTTCACTACAATGAAGACATGTCCTTTGTCCTTTTCATAGCATAAGCTTTCACAACACGGGTTTTTGGTGCATCTGTTTTCTTAGAATTGTTGTACATTTGATCTACTTTACTAGGGTAAATAATAATTACAAAAAAGCAAAGGGGTTCGTATTCTGACGATTTCGCTCATTGGTTTAATCCAAGTAATGGTGGTAATGGTTTTATGTGTAAGGTAATGAGCATTTTGTTTTTACAAATTTTCACCTTATGAATAGTTTTCAAGGGACAAATTACAGCTGTAAATCAAGAGATGGGTGTATACTATATCAAAACGTTTCAGTGATTTTGAGCATAGTTAAAGGCTGAATCATTTTTTCAGGAGTTTCATGATTTCCTAATGAAGGAAATCTGAGCTTCACTTTGTGCCCTTGTCTTTTTTCAGTGAATGATGAAAAGAAAAAGCTGGTAATTGGTGGCCAAGTAAAGAACAAGAGCCCATCAAAGCTTGTTATTTACTGCAAAGACCTGCGAGTCTTTCAGTTCTGTTTGACGTATGCAAAAGAAGAGGAAGCTAAAAAGGTATTTATTCAACTGCTGACCACGGTTTGTTTTCTTACTGTGCCTTATATGCTTCACTGGTGTATTACATCTTTGTTAAATCACTTCCCCATTTTTGTAATTATTGCAATTCTATGTCCAGAAATTAAAATGAATGAATGTAATTATTTTACTGCTTTGTTTTAGATCTTTCAGGGAATTGTTCACCACAGTCTTGAGCCCAAGTCACTAAAATGTATATTTGCCTTTTCCTATTGTGAAATGACAGCAGCAGCTCCAGGTAAGAAGCTACAAAGAGATTTGATTTGCAGAAATGGTTATGGTTGTAATAGAATTTCACTGGGAACTCACTGAAAAGAAGGTGAATCCATATAAGTGCAGGCTTGTGCTTTATTTGAGCTTCCTTTACAAAGGGGGATTTATAAAAAATAATATAATGCACTAAGAATGTTAAATGTACAGTAAACTGAGCATTAAAATAAACATGCATGCTTTTCGTGAAAATAGTTTACAGATTTATGGATACTGATTACATGTTTTGTCCTTATTTTGATTAATTGAGTCTGGGATTCTGATACTCTTGAGTGTCTTTGACTGTTTCATATTGTAACGCTTACGGCCGACGGGCACTGCGTAAGAGCCGGCGTACCAGAGCAGGTGACGTCACCGCCCTTCCCTGTGATAGCAGGACTACAGCTACTGGGCTGTAGAGAGATCTCTCTTTAGCTCACGGGGCTAGGTCGCTGCAGAGAGCCGCGGGAGTCCCGGGTTCGAGCCTCCAGTCGGGATGGGGCCGACCAGATGCGGCGAGGGCGCCCGCCTGAGCCCCCGTTGCGTTACAATATGTACAGAATCACCTCTTAAGTTGATTAGGCATAGTTCATCTGGTGATTTAACTTGATGAATGTATAAGTCTGCTGAAAATCACAATGGAAAAACACAGAAAGGAACCTTGCTTGGCACCAGTAGACTGAGACTTACTAGCAGTAAAGTCCTGTTTATCAATGATTCACCATATGTCACCTTTATGGAAGTCATTTTATGGACTATTAATGGGGAGGTCCAAGGTTCATCTGGACAGGAGTGATTAGACTCTAGAGAACCATGGCTTTCTTGCATGGTTGCATGATGAGAATGTGGCAGATTTAGGGTAGATTGCCTTGAACCCATTGAACATTTGTGGGATGAGCCGGGGAGACTTGTACCAGTTAGGGCTCAGCGACCAGTGAACGGGAAATACTATTCTATAGCATATGGTACAAGACTAATGTTACGGAATCATTCAAGACAGAATCAGAAAGCGTGTCAGTTTGCTGATTGGCAAAATGTTCATTTGTGTAATTTACCTGTGCCATTTCAGTTCAATACAAAGTCAGTGCACCTCCTTCAAAAAGTCATTTTCCTGATGTACTGTAAATTATGTAATTTATTCAGATGTTCAGTATATATGTTATAATTTACATTAAAATAATATCCCACAAATAAAATTGACACTTTTTTGCCTAAAATGTGACCATTTGTAGTAACTGGGTTTGAACGTTTTTTGTAAAATCTGCTGTACATTACTATGTTTCTTAAAGTTTACATTACTATGTCAAAGAAGCATACAAGGTTTACTGCTGAAAGAGGTTCTTATTAGAAGGTTTTAAAATGTAAAACATTTAATTATTACAGTGTTCTTCAAATACTGTTTTCTGTTGTGCTTCTCACACTTTTGTTTTCTAGAGCAATCAACAAACCAGAAAACCATAATGTTTGAAAGTAAAGATGAGTGGGAGATGGAAATGAAACGTACTAAAGGAAATTGTCGATTAGCGACTGCAAATGAAAATTATAGCATCTCTGAAAAGTATGTTCAGTTTTTTATTCTTTTGGTTTTGTTTCTTAATGGGAATGAATATTGGAAGCACAAATGTATTGCTTTTGCTTTGAGGCTACTGTATTCCAGGGTTGTGTACTCAGGTTGACCATGTTTTTGCAGCTTGGTAAACATGTCCTTTTTGCTTATACCCACCCATTGATTTTCTAATTGCTTCTTTCAATTTAGGGTCATGGGGGAACCAAAGTCTATCCCAGAAAGCAATGGGTGTGAGGCAGAGTACACCCTGGACAGGATGCCAGTCCCTCGCAAGGCAGACATACAGACACAAACTTACTCACACCTAAGACCAATTCTCTCAGAAGCCAGTTAACCTAGCAGTACGTTTTTGGACTGTCAGACTGCCATGTGAACACAGGGCGAACATACTGACTCCACGTAGATAGCACCACAGGTCCGGATGTGAACCATAGGGCCCCAGTGCTGCGAGGACTCAATGCTAACCACTGGTCATCATGCTGACCCATTTTCACTTACAGTTGTTCAGAAATGTCCCTGCTACAGGTTACATTTCAGTAGTTGATTCCTGGAATAAGACGGATATTATGAAAAAGTAAAAAAGATCACCTGGTTACGGTATATTCAACTTAGAAAATAAAACTTTCTGCCACTGAGACAGTATGACATAGCAGCAAATGGACCAACTTGTGTTGTGCAGATTGTTAGAAATGAGTGGTGGCACCCCAGCTACAGTCCTTTGTCTAACATGCATTTTCTGACCATAATGTAGAGTATGTTGTATTGTTGAAGGGGAATAGTTTAATTTTGCATAAACAAGTTTGTATTTTTAACACAAGAACTATAAAGACCTTATAAAGATTATGTTCTCTGTTCCATAGGCTGCCACAGTTTTTCATCGTCCCTTCAGCTGTATCGGAGGAAGACATTGTAAATTCCCATGGGAAAGGAATACCAGTATGTATTTAAATGTTGTATTAATAATATCTTGATCATCTTCCATGTATGTTGATAAGGTTTTTGGTCATGCTTCAGTTGTTTTGATAAGATAATCTTTTCTCAAGGAGATCTTGGTTCTTGGCTCACTGAAATAATTTGTCCCCCTGATGCCTATTAAAGACACTAGTTCCATGGCTTTCCCTGCATTAAGCAGGTTGGTCTGTGTCCTCCTCTGGAGCAAGAGATGCAACTTCAGATTCACATGGCTGTGTTAATACTCTGTCAAAAAGAATATATTTTAAAACTTATGCCAGAAGATTTCCATCTTTCCATATTTCTTGTACATCGTTCAGTGGTGTCAAGACTTTACCGTCAGAGAGGCAGCCAACAGCACATATGTTCCTCCATTTGAAGGAAAAGCTTTGAAGTGTAAAGTATGTAGTGCTTTGAAATCCAAAACAAAACAAAGTATATGTAATGGCTGTGTAAGAGAGCTGGAGGAAGGGTGGTATGGTGGCGCAGTGGTTAGCATTGCTGCCTTGCAGTGCTTGGGCCCTGTGTGTTCTCCTCATGTTCACGTGGGTTTTCTGGCTTACTGGTGGGTTAATTGCATTCTGGAAAACTGTCCCTTGCAACTGTGTCCTGCAAAGGACTGGCGTCCTGTTAAGAGTGTATTCTGCCTTGCTCCCGTTGCTTGCTGGGATAGGCTCTGGCTACCCCATGACCATATATTTGATAAAACAGTTGGAAAATGAATGGATCCTTAACTAATGGTAACTAAAAGTCTGACATAGAAGGATAGCCTTTATTTTGTGGGAAATTATTCATGCTAAATGTAGACTCAGAATGGTAATTTCTGATTTTGAATCATCTTCCGTTTTGCAGATCTGGTGCTGGTCCCATCATAGTGGCTGCGCACTCTTTAAAATGGCATCTTTACCTTTGCCTCAGGATGACAGTGTTGCACAATTGCACAAAAAGTACATGGAAAGGTTAGTAGACAATCTAGAAATTAATTTTTAAGGCAATATTATGAGGACCTAAAATGCATATCAAATATTCAGGTACAACCTGTGGTTTAACTTAATTTTAGCCTATTGTAGTAAAGGTCATGCTGCTAAACTTGAAAAAAATCTGTAATGTACAGTATCTGTTATTGTATCTTAAAAGATGTAATATTATTTCTATACATTTTCACTGTGAAAAAGTTTGGTTTTCAGTGTGATAAATACAAACCCAAAGTGTTAAAGACTTGCTTCTAACACAAAGTCTGTATGAGACTGCATAAGTAGTCAGACATGAACGCTATTTGTTAGAAGTACCTTTACATTTGGATTTGTTATGGGTGTAACACTTTGCACTAGGTCAAAAACTTTAAATTTTGGCTTCCAATTCCATATAAGCCCCCTTTGTGTCATGATTGGGAAGTGGTTGGCCCATGGACACTTTCTCCAATCGTAGCCACTGCAACTCTTTTAAAGTTAGCCTTACTGTATAGTGGCATCCTTACCAGTTTGCCTCTTGCCCAGGTACTACTGTACGTTTGGGGGGACAGCCTGATCCAGGCTGTGTCTCGATGCCTTCTATTTCTTAATGATTGCCTTCGCCACTCTTAAAGAGATATTAAGGGGCTCTGAAATATTTTTATACCCTTGTCTATAGCTTTATACAAGGAGTTGTTTTGAAAGCTCATTATTTTTGATGGTTGAATCTACATACAACTGTATGCCTGAAAATCACTTCAGACCGAGAGACCTTACAGAGATGGCTGTATTTACTCTGAAATTCTGCTGGCTACTGATATTGCACACAGAGGCTACTCAACTATTTGTGTAGGTCATTATGGTAATTTAGTGTACATGATTTAGGATTGAAGTAGTTCGAGAAGAAGGCTCCACAGACGAAAGGTTGTGTTTCTTTTCTTCTCTTTTCAGCATGGAATAAACCTTTACTTGTTTCATAATTTAGGATTGCCACAGCAAGGATGTTTGTACTTGTACAATCATTACTTTCATATTATTTTTTTGTTGTAAAAACTGTGCAAGGTTCAGAGTACTTCTGCAAAGCACTGCATCTTACAGGAAATGCCTTTCCATGTTTGTGTGTTTTAATAGTAAGCAGTCAGATCATCAGCTGTCCGTAGATGCTAATTTAAACATGTTCTAAAAGCAGAATTAGAAATCTGTTTAGTTGATTTTCTACTGTTGACAAATGTCCAAAGCTACAGTGGCTATAAAAAATATTCACCCCCTTGGACTTTCACATTTTACGGTGTTACAATGTAAAATCACCATGTATTTATTTGGGAATGTTTTTGGCATTGGTCAACTGAAAATATTCTTTAATGTCAAATTAAAGAAAGAAAGGCTTCAATTCTACACATCATCCTAAATTAATTAAAAATATAAAACAAAATATGTGATTGCATAAGTATTCACCCCCTTTTTCTATGACCTACCTAAATTGGCTCTGCTGTGACCAAAGGTCTTTAGAAGACATAATTTGTTGAATGGAGTCCACCTGTGTGCAGTTATGGTGTTTCAAATGAAGTCAGGATAAATATGCCTATCTCTGGGACATCCCACAGTTGATTAGTACAGGTCCCAACAAAAACTACATCACAAAGACAACCCAGCTTACAAAGTAAATCTGGGGTTATTGAAAAGCACTAATCAGGGGAAGCGCATAAGAAAATTTCCAAGGTAATACATGTCCCCCAAAGCTCAATAAAGTCCATTATAAATACATGTAGAAAATATAGCACAACTGGGAACCTGTGAAGAACAAGGTGTCCTCAGAAACTGAGAATCCAGGCAAGACGTGCACTAGTCAGGGAGGCTGCAAAGAGGCTAGTGACTACTGTAAAGGAATTAGTCTTCCCTGGCTATGATGGAGAAAGTGCATTTGACAGTGCTTTACAAATTTGAGTTTCATGGGAGAGCGACAAAAAACACATGAAATCTTGACGATACTTTACCAGAAGGCATGCAGAAGACACTGAGACCACGTTGAAGATTCTATGGTCTGATGAGAAACAAAATTGACTTTTTTGGCCTTAATGGTAAACGTTACGATTGGTGCAAGCTAACAGTTAACATAATCCTGAGTTCACCATCACTACTGTGAATCATGGTGGGGGCAGTAGCATGATGTGGGGAAGGTTCGTTGCATCAGGGCCTGTAAGACTTGTGAAGACAGAAGGAAAAATGGATGCAGCAAAGTACAGAGGAATCCTGGAGGAAGACCTGCTGCAGTCTGCAAGGGACATGGGACTTGGGAGAAGATTCATCTTCGAGTGGGACAATGACCCTGTAATATACAGCCAAAGCCACCCTGGAGTGGATTAAAATGAAAACAAGTCAAGCCTAGACCCCAATCCAATTAAGAATGTGGCAGAAGTTCAAAATTGCTGTTCACCCTTTTTTTCCATCTGACCTGAGGGAGTTTGAGAAAGTTATGGGCAAAAATTGCAGTGTCCAAATGTGCAAATCCAGTAGAAACTTATCCAAAAAGACTCAAGGCTGTAATTTCTGCCAAACCTGCCTCTACCAAATTAATTTAGGAGGATCTGTAGAATTGTTTTTTCATTTTGACACTTTATAGACTGTTTTCTGTCCATCAATGGCAAAGACTCCTAGTTAAATGCATTGATTCCATACTGAAACACAAAATGTAAATGTCCAAGGAGGGAGAATACTTTTGATAGCCACTGTAAATATCATTCACATTCTTTTTATTCACAGTATTTTAAAAGACACCCTAAGTCTAAAAGCTGTTCCATTTAAACAACACATACTGTATAAACCTCTCTAAAATAGTTGTCTGTGGCTGGTAACTGACTTTGTTTACACAAAAACAAAACTAGTTCTGCTTTCCTACATTGTGAATCTAGTTAATAAAGCTGGTATTCACTTTTCCATTATATTTACACATTACTAAGAATGGACATCTTTCCAGGATAGGGTGTATAACGTATGCTCTTATGGGAAAGGATATTAATTATCTCTAGTTAGTATGTTGTTGTTAAATGTGCATCTTATTGTGTAAGAGACCCCATTTCACACTGCTTCAGTGCAAAACTGCATGAAATTACATTTTTTAATAATAGACCCCTTCATACAACTTATGATTCACAGCATTCACATTGGAATACCACAATTTAAAATGACAAATCTTGTCATAGGATCATGACCTAGATTTTCCAGTTGTTTGAGTATGTTTATCATTTTCCTCTTAAGATGCTGTTTGGAATACTGTATCTTTTTACGTAAGTTTCTTTTCAAATAATTTAAAATGATTTGATTCATCTACTCCATGCATGGTTCTTTACTCATTATGATATATAACAAAAGTCAGTATTGGTTTTAAGCTAATGTTTAGTGCTATGGTTCATCTCAAAGTAAGTGTTGTTTCTCAGTTTGTTTGCCATGTCTCATCTTGAACCCTGAGAAACTGGGTTAGAGTAATGAGTAGCATGACCAGCGTCGTCGTGTCTAGCTGTGGAGTACAAACTGCTCTTCAGATTATTTATGGGAAGGCACGTAACACTAAAATCTGATTTTATGTGCTGCATTTACTGTGGTGCTATTTAGATGGGATTAAATTCTGATTTTAAGGTATAAGTTTATAGATCACAGTTTTTCTTACTTGTGTTTGTTCTGTTGTCTTTGAAGGGTTTAATGTTTCTGTTTTCCATTGCATTTATAATGCTGTTGTGGAACTGTTACTTTAGAAGGAACAACTACTGTTAATGTTTTAAGCAGTTTGGCAGCTGGCAACATGCTGGGAAAGAGGGAATAAGAGGAATTGTCTTTCTACTTTAGGTAGAAAGTTAATATATAAATGACACTGGACAAAGATGCAGTGGTGTTACACATGGACCATTTCTTTACACAATTTGATTGGCAAATTTACAGTTACAAACAAAAGAATATCCATCACTTTGGAGTGATGACCTCCTAAAAGTTTGAGTTTCCTGCTGCTTCCGATTTCTGTCTGCTTCCATTATCCACAAAGCTTTTTCATGGTCATTGGAGTTGAGGTATGGTGTGTTTGCTTAGTCATAAGAAGGCAGATTACTGCAGGTCCTGAAACAAACGTATTTGTGTGCATTTGCACTTGGTTTAATTAAACAAACATTGATCTTTGTTTTTAATTGTTTTTGTAATTGTTTCATACAGTGCTGGCAGAAAATCATTATATGGATTTGTAGACAAAAGCATTGGGATCAGTAAAATGAGAAGAACTACAAAGAAAGTGACTTAATAAATCCTAGTTGTGCTGTTTAAGTATATCTAAATCAGACATGACTTGGATAAAATATTAGATAACACATTAAACAGACATAAGTAAAGCTAATTTCACACTTAGTACTTATGCACTCTTCCTTCTGTGCTTTGTTCAGATGTTTTACTTTATAAATCATAGTTTTTTTTATATCTTAAAACATGTTTATAGCATCCCTTTGGTGATATTTTGTCTTTGTCTTCAACACGTACAGGTTTAGGAGCCACAGTTGACCTTGATTCCTGAGATGATAGTGCAAAATCTTAGTTTTTAAGCAGAACCCATAATTGTATAGTGATTTGATTATTTAAGGCTGTATATACTGTAGGGGAGTACATGAAGGCTGCTAGGAATCAATTAGAACAATGGTAATATTGACATACAGATTCAAAGACTCCAATATACAATCTTATTAATATGCAAACTAAATCAATACAAGAATAGATCTATATATATATTAAACAATCTACTGTGATGGGTGGCGCAGTCAAACAATGGTTAGTATTGCTGCCTCGCAGTGCTGGGGCCCTGGGTTCAATTCCAGATCCGGGGTGCTGTCTGCACGGAATTTGTATGTTCTGGTGTTTGCGAGGGTTTCCTTCAGGTACTCCGGTTTTCTCCCACAGTCCAAAGACATACTGTACTGGTAAGTTAATTGGCTTCTGGGAAAGCGGCCCTAGGTGTGAGTGTGTGTGTCTGTTTGTCTCTACAGTATGTGTCTGCCCTGTGATGGACTAGTGTCCCATCTAAGATGTATCCTAGGGAGCTCATCACATACAGTAACTTCAAAGGAAGTCTTGAGCACAATTTATTGTTTTATATGGTCTCTCGGCAATACAGTAGCAGTTATTTTCAGCTACATTTATTTCAGTTATGGTTGACAGTGTTGGTCATGGATGGATGGATGTTTGCCTGTTATACCTTCCGGCATGTAGGGGCAGCAACATCCTGTTGCTGTTTCCTTAACATTAGTATTTTACAGGGCAGGGTTGTTAGCCTTGTGCGCAACCTTCAATATGGAGGACTTGGCGCCCGACGTGGGACATGAACCCACTACCCTGAGATTATGAGTCTCATGCTCTACCAACAGAGCTAGTCTTGGGCCTGTTGGTTATGGTCACATGGTTAATTAGCTACAGATGGATAATAGGGTTTTACAGGGGGCACACACAGCATTAAGCTGTGTTGTCACGGGTGCAATGTTGTGATGTTGTCAGGTGTAGTGACCTTTCCACATGCCAAGTTCCTCATGGGTGTTTTTTCTAGCCATATCGGTTAGTTTCAGACTTGTGGCCTCTTTGTCTGTTTAAGGGAAATACTGATGTGTATCCCTCTTAGAGTTGCAAGCTATGTGGCATTGAAGTGGGCTATTCATCGCTGGAGGTGTCAAAATGAACCCAGTCTATGATGTTATATTTGTATCAGAGAGTCGGTACATCCTACTTCTCCGATCTTATCCCATCACTGCAGCATTCCTAAGAAACAAACTCAAAGGAGTTATTGTAAGTAGTGCTAGGGTTTATTTTCAGTCAACTGTAACCTTTATATCCATTAAAATACATTTTTTTCCATTAAAATTTTACCCCTGGGTAAAGTGAGTATAATTTATTTACTTTTATATTTATATTATTTTATGAAAATTTATATTATGTTATAAAAATGTATTTATATTTTTATAACATTCATTATGTTTTTAACAACATAAAGGTCACCTTCGTCTAAGGAAGAAAAGCAAGTCCGTACCATCATACTACGTGTATCCCTAATGTCTGGAACCTTGGATTAAATTCTTCTCTCCGATCAGAAATTCTTGGTGGAAAAACATTCAAAATAGCCTGATAATTTCTTCAATTTTTTATGTTCAGTGAGTGATGCCGACCTGGAATCACATTCACATTGCATTAAAGTAACTACAGTATATTCTGTTTTTATTACACCCAGGCCAATTTAATTACTGGTAGATATCCTTTTAGTTATATCAGTATTGTTTTTTATGATGGTTGAGCCACCTCTTCCTTTTTTCATTTGCTGGCAGTTTCCATACAAACAAGTTAAACTTCATATAAAATATGACTCCATTTTCATCAATTAGCATGTAGTTTGATTAACCGTTTACTATTGGGTGGTATACTGTGGTGGTGTACTCCAGGTGGATGCTGCACATTGGTGGTGGTGGAGGGGAGTCCCCATTACCTGTAAAGCCCTTTGAGTGGAGTGTCTATAAAAGCGCTATATAAGTGTAAGCAATTATTAATTAATTATTATTATTACTGTATGTGTTCTTTGACAAGCTTCTTATTGGAAAATGGAGTTTGTTAGTAACCTAATCAACTGAATATCAAAGCATGACCACAGTTATTATATTTAAGAATTGTTTTAATGGCAGTTATTGCTGAATTCATTACTGTTGGGTCATGTTTCGTAAAGCCTCACTGAGAGCATTTTTCAAAGAAGATAAGCAGTCCGAGAGGCTAACATTGACTTTTTTAAAACAGTTACAACATTATCAACATTTAAAACATTATCAACATTATTATTGCTTTGATAAATGTTAGTGCTTGTAACTGTTATTGATGGTACATTTGATTGATACACTGTATCATCTTACTTTCTTTTACAGTCTTTTAAACATAAACATCAATGAAAGCAAAGTGGAACAGCTGATGTAGATCAGGTGGCTGTAAAAAGTAATATCTGGTGTGATTCTACCTCAGCATATCCCAAGACTGTGTAGCTAAGAGAATTATGCATTACCAAGAGAATATTGATCTTCTGTAGTCAAATAATGAATCATAGGAGACAAATAATCTACTATTCACAATTCAGGTGTTTTTAGCACATGCTGTAAATCAGTTTAGTCTATGCTCATGTACAGTACTGTATGCTTCCCAATTTGAGTCTCCTGGTTTATTATTGTATTTCTTGTTTTTCACTCAAAATAGTAATTTAAAGAATATGATAATATTCAAAAGTGCAGTCTTGAAATATGTTTGAACAATTGAGGGAATGTCTGAAGCAGCTTTGTCACTCAGAGACATTGGTAGTCCATTTCGAAATATTTGTGCTGTGGCATTTGCTCACACCTTTTAGGCTAGTGGTTTTGCTGCTGACATACAGTAGGACCAATGCAGGAATGTCTGTACAATGATTTTCTTTTGACTTCACATTAGATTTTTTGCAGACTAAAAACAGGTTATCTAAAACCTCAATTTTAAGAGAAAATGATATTCAAGTCATTATACCAGTTATGTCATTTCACCAGAGAAAAGGTCTTTCAGTTCTAGGAAGTGTAGCAAACTCTTTTAAGAGCCAAGTCTTCGTTGCAGAAAAGAGAAGTTAACTTAGTGAAAGCTTACAAATGTTGCAATTTCTTGGTCTTTGTAGTCAAATGATTAGAAGTACTGTGACAAAACTGCTTGTTTAGAGGGTTCTAAAATATTTAAGCACAATGAGGAGTTAGGGAGAACCTGGGAATGCTGAAAGAACTGTGATACCATTGTGATAAAAGTGATAACACCATGGCACCCTATTGACACTCAATCCCAACAATAAACCTTCATCGGCACATCCCCCGATTTCTACACCTTCCTTTATTGGTGTGAAAAATGATATGATAAGAGCCAGATGCCACTATAATACCATTATTCTGTCTCTTAGAATATCCTGTACAGATCACAGACCATACAGATTCACCAAACTGTATGTTTCTTGTCTAGGTGAGAAAGGCCACAGTATTTTGTGGCCACACAAATTTCCCATTGGCCCTTACCAATCATGGCCTCCTAATAATCCCCATCTATGAATTGGCTTCATTACTCTGCTCTCCTCCCCACTGATAGCTGGTGTGTGATGAGCGTTCTGGCACACTATGGCTGCCGTCGCATCATCCAGGTGGATGCTGCACATTGGTTGTGGTGGAGGGGAGTCCCCATTACCCGTAAAGCGCTTTGAGTGGAGTATCCAGAAAAGTGCTATATAAGTGTAAGCAATTATTATTATTATTATTTTATTTTAATCACTTTTAAGCAATTTTAGGTTTTGATAGTGTCGTTGATAGTTGTTAGCAAATTATGCAGACAGCATGGGTGACTTTTTGTGAATATTATCCCAGTACAATAAATCAATTTCCACAGATTTAATATGAAAAGGTTTAAAATGTGCAAATCTTCTGTGGTGTTACAAAGCAAAGGTTTTTGGAGTTTATTTGTATTTACGGAGACATGAGAGGAATGACTGTACCAGATACACAGCCCAGAAAGAATCGGTATGGCGATCTGCACTGAAATACACACCATCTGAAACAAATTGCTTCAGTTAAATGACTTATGAATGACTAAATGACTTGTTAACAGTTGAATGACTTTAAAAAGATGACAATGCTGAGCAGCTCTGTGTGCTTTATATTGAATAGAACAGTATGTCTTTCATTCCTGTTAAATAACCTTTAATAATACTTTTTAAAATTGGCATAGATCAAACATGATTACATGTTATTTATAAGATAAGGCGGGGTGGTGCGGTGGCTCTGTGGCTAAGGATCTGAGCCTGTGGCTGTAAGGTTGCCGGTTCATATCCTGAGGCTGGCAGAGGAATCCTATACGTTGGGCCCCTGAGCAAGGCCCTTAACCCCAACTGCTCCAGGGGCACCATATATATGTCCCTGCGCTCTGACCCCAAGCTTCTCTCCCTGTCTGTGTGTCTCATGGAGAGCAAGTTGGGGTATGCGAAAAGACAAATTCCTCATACTAAAATTGTGTATGTCCAATAAAGTGATCTTATCTTAATAATTGGGTAGGTTCATAGGAGTAAAAAGGAAATTGGTGGTAGTTTAACCTTTCTTCATATTCTACTAATAGCAGGACAGAATCACATCAAATCAAATCAAAGTTTATTTATCAAATGCACAACAATACGGCGTTCAGCAGTAGTTGCTGGCAATTAAATGTCTTTTTCTGCGAGCTCACAAAAATTACAAGAATCACAAAAATCACAAAAATTCACAAGAACACAAAAATCACAAAATTGAGGCTACATTTTTTAAATTGAATAAAACTCAATGTGAGTAGAGCTGTTATGTGTCTATGGTGTATGCAATATATACATGTAGTGCAGTTATGCTGGATATAGTGAGAATTGTGTGTCCATGTAGCCATTACAGGTGATTTGCTAAGGAGCTACAGGTGGTTATTTAGCAGTCTTATTGCCTGGAGGTAGAAGCTGTTCTGTAGTCTGTACATGGCCAAATTAGTCAAGAAACATGTCTGAAAATGTCTCAAGCTGACATGAAAAACATCACGCTAGACCTACATTCTAAGGTACATAAAACACAAATTGACCCCGTGTTGAAAAGATGTGAAAAGTATTGACTCTTACTTCTGTCATTGTAACTTAGTTGTAAATGTAGTTATCATTTACTAAACATAATGCAACCTTTTTCAAATGTGCATCTAGTCTACGGCATTTATTCTTGTTCTATATTATAAAATGGTTAATTTGCATAAACACCTAATTTGCCTTGAAACCCTGAAATATTTTTAATCTTATATTTGAGTTTTGATTCCTTCTGTGTTTTGTAATCTGTTTCAGAGTGTACAATGCTGTTGCTCAGAATCACCTTTTCTCCCTGAAAACAGAGGACCTTTCTGCCACACTTCCTTCTGTTCAAGACATACAACAATCCTACAACAAATTCAAACAGTACTTTCTAATTGGTAGGTAGCCTTTACCTTACCTTTGTACCAGCTCTTATCTTTGAGGTATGCTGGTGTCAGGCCTCGTTCATTATAGAAAGCTACAAAAGCAATTAAACTTAAAATGTGCATCATTAAAGCAAATGAACAAAATATATTTCAGCATTCCTGAAAAAAGAGAGATGTGCTGTAAAAATGATCAAAGTGTCTGATTAGTTTGTGTAAACAGTACACACTGGCTCATCTCTGTTCTACAGACTATCTAATAATAAGTACATACAGCAATTATTGATATATACTGCCATAGCAAAAAACAAAATAGTCTATGACCTGAAATTTAAAATAACCATATTACAAAATAATATTACATAATGAACTGCAGGGTCAGATAATTTCAGAGTAGGTGATGATGTGGAAAGGACAGGATTTATGTGTGTATTTGCATTTAATGTACTGCCAGAAATTAGGAAACACTTAACCTCCAGTGGCAATTACAGTAGTAATAAATACAAATATAGAATATAATGTGGAAGGTTTAATTTCCTATAAGCATTTAATATAGTTCCTAAAAAAGATCAATTCTTAAATTATGGATGGTAGACATTCTAGGTAATACAAGTATGTGGATGAGAATGTGTTAAAAGAAAATAGATTTTTAGACTGGTTTTACCCATTATTGAAATATATTTCAATTAATAATTTATATAAATTATCTGGAGTCTGGTATTCCTAGTACACTAGTCTAATTTGAATTGTTACATGTTCTGTAGGACGAAAAGCATAAACTAAATATAAGATGGAAAATTCTGAACTGTGGAAAAGATGTTGGTGACTGTGATGTCATTTTCATCTTGAAGCAATAAAAACACGAACAAGGTGCGAATATTTAGTTAAAAAATATAAATTGACATCATAGGGTGTTATATTACCCTAACTACATAACAATGCATTAACTAGTAAGATCTCATTTTGTCCACAGAAGAGCAACCAGATACACTCCTTTAAATGAGTTAAATTAAACTTATTGTTAACACTAAATACTGGTGGGACCTGATTCAAGTAAGAACAATTAGTCAAAGTTAATCCAGTAGACTTCTGAATCAGAGGACACATGGAAAACTCAGGGAAGGGCATTTAAGCTGATAACAGGAGGCCCTTTTTTACACAAGATCTGGAATAAGTTCAAATGTTCATGGGCATATGGAAACACTCAACAAAAAGCAGTTGAAACAGTTCAGCACTAAATGAGGTTAGAGATTCAGTAGTGACTTGCAGCCTGAATTGCTTTTCCTTTTCATTTGTATTCACCAACCAATTAATGCAGAGACATATATAAGAGCCAAATGTCCGTGAGCTTGGCCAGTGGCATGAACCATGAGTATCTTGATAGTGGAGGAGAATGTGAAAGAGAGCAAGAGCAGACGGTATTTGTTGTGATTAGAAAACAAGATTAGAAGTATTTAGGATGCTAAATGTCAAGAGATGTTAGGCTTGCTGGAGATGAGGCAGGAAGATTAGGAATAGTAGGAAAAGGAAACCTGACATTTAGAACACCTGCCTGGATCTGAACCCAAGTCGGGCTACAGGTGGCACATCTGCAAGTGGAAGGGCCAAAATGTGACCCTGAGAGAACTAGGGCTGCCGCTTAGAGTGAATGTACAGATAAGACACTAAACCACTGAGGAACCAGTAAGAAGAAAAACAAACAAAACATAAGGAAGGAGTCCTACTTTTCCAAAAAGTAACGCAGATACCTGCTGGATTTGTAGTACCGAAGTACTGTAGAGACTGAAGGGGTCAGAACAACACAGATCACAAAGCATAGCTTATTGATGTGTGGGGGTTTAAAATGGAATCCAAGTTAAAAAGGATGCATGGACACCTTAGAAGACAAATTAGAAGAGAGCATAAACTGTCAATTCAAAATCATGCTCGGACCACCGAGACAGTGAGATAGATACCTGAACAAAGCAGTTGAAGAGAAACTACTAGACTTTGAAGAATATTATGATCTAGAAAGATCTTAGAAACTGTGGAATGGAAAAAGAAGGAAAAAACAGCAGGAACAAAGGTTGTCAAATGTAGCAGTTGAAGAGGGATCATGCAAAGTGATGGATGCCCGCAGAGGTGTGAGCTGAATGTATATAAATCCATCAGTCAGTCTTAAAGCTGTAAAGGGAAAACAACATAGGCTTGCCTCTGTTTGGGTTGTTTCTCAAACATGGACAACATTTATATTTATTTTTAAGTTTATAATGTATTTCTAGCAGTCAATTTAAATAAAACTATCTGAACACCGAAACTGGAAATGGCAGAATAGAGGTATTGTTACTGTCCAGTTGAAGTCGTGGAAGTGAAGATTCTGGGTTTTCAGGCTTACTGTCCCAGAGGAGTCTGGTAATCCACATTGTGATCAAATTCTCTGTAGAGTTTGCTCTTGGCATCCTCTAAAGGAAAGATAATACAAATGTAGTGTTGAGTGAATTTAAAATGCAGATGGTGAAGATTCGAACAGAAGGAACTGGCAGTATCTCTTGGAGAGCAGCAAGCGTGGTAGGGGTGTGGACACGACAGTGTTAGGAATGTAAACCAAATAACATTGGGGAAAAAGTGAGAAAGAGACCGATATTTATGTAACCAAGGTTATGTTAAGTGTCTGTCTTCTCATAAACTTGCTGTATGTGTGTACTCTGTACACATGTGAATATGTGGGTTTCACAGAATGAGTTGTGCCTGAGAACTGCCTGGAACAGTCAAGGCACATAGTTTGGGAACCCCTGCTTTAGACAATAGGATGCTGTTGTAGTGCTGCTTGTTTAATGCCTTCTAATTCTATTATTCTAAATACATTTAATTGAAAATGCGTGACTTACTCCACTGTTTGGCAACAGCCTTAGTGAAGCAAAAATGCTGTAACTGGCATTAAACGAAAAAACTAGGGGCTTATTATGTCTTTTCTGCCTCTTGAGGAACAACAAATGTCAGTATTTTGCTCCTCGTGGCTGCCGAGCCACCATGTACAATTTATAGTATCACAAGTTAGACTGGAACCATCATCACAACCTATGCACTGTTCTCATATTTATGCGACAGTGTCATTTGCAAGGATGCATGCTTAGAATTCAATGGGATATTGAAATGTAATGTACAAAATGATGATGCACATCCAATCTAATTTACCTCCACAGTTTAAATAGGGACATACAAGGCAACTTAGGCATTTAATGGGTCTTACTATAAATTCCTAAACATATTCACATAGACCTCTTACATTGTAATGCATAATAGGTTAATTGCCTGGAACAAGTTTTATGGTATGTGAACATAAGCCTTTGGGGTATCTCCTAATCTGACAAAGTGGTGGATTATAACCTGTGAAAAGAACTTTGATACAGTGCGTTTGCTGTGAGTGCTCAGGAGAAAGTTAAATAAGAAACTAAACATGTTGTGGGAATGATTGTGAAATATAATTATGTAAGCTGTAAAGGATCTAATTTCATCACCTGTTCTTTTCTTTTTAAATAAGAAAAAATTCTGACCAGATGCTTGTTCACTTATGCAGTTGCCAATTTACATTTACCTTTTTAATTGGGGTTATGGTGAAAATGACATCACTGCATTTTTTTATACAGATAATATTACTGAATTTTGGATGTCAGATATGAAATGGCTTTCTTCTTTGGAAAATTCTGGATGGTTAGACCATATCAGGTTAGTTTTTAAAAAATAAAAGTTTTAAAATATATGCATGAATGATTCGTTGATTACAGTATGTTACTAATAAGTCAGTTCAAACTTAAATGAACAGATCTACTGTATGTTCCCGATTGCAGACAGTGTCTTACAAAAGCAGTGGAGATAGTAGAGTGCTTGGAAAAAGAAAACACAAATGTTCTTATGATGGGTAAGTGTACAGATTTTGGATTTTATTGATCAAAATATCAGAATGGTAGTATTTTATTTCAGGTTGTATAGTATTCAAGTACAACTTCATACTGCATGTTTTTCAACGACTACGAAAATTCATATTAATTTAGTGGCATAAATCTGTACCTTTTTCCATTTTTGTATTCATATTACCTTTTGTACCTTTTGTTTAATTGATGAGCATCTGGTTATTAAATTGAATTGCTTGTTTAACATTGATACAGTGCAACACTTGTTGGTTTTGCTCTGCTGCAGAGGAGGATGGTTCTGACCTTAGCTGCATAATCACCAGCCTGGTACAGCTGATGATGGATCCCTTTTTCAGAACTCTCTCAGGTTTCCAGAGTTTAGTGCAGAAGGAATGGGTGGCTGGCTGCCACAGCTTTCTCGATCGCTGCAACCATCTTCACCAGAGGGACAAGGAGGTACGTCAGGCCAACAAGTGTGGGGTTGGTTGTATCTTGGGATACAGCTTCTATCTTGTACAACACTGAGATACATAGATCTTGACAGTTGGAAATACTAACTGGCCTACACTAAAGTGTATTAGTCTCAGCAGTCCTCTATATCAGGGGTTCCCAATCACAGTCCTTGGAGGCCCACACACCTGCAGGTTTTCATTTCCGCTAAGTTTAATTACCTAATTGAAGCCTAATTAAACAAACAAGATGCTTGATTGGAACACTTGCAATTTTCTTTCTACTGAAAAGTGGGATTTTGTAAATGATTACATTAAAATAAGTAAAAATGAAGAAATGTAAACCATCACAGTTCAAAGTAATCCAGTTATGTCGATTAAAAGCTCAGCTGTGTACCTGAGAGCTTGGCTGGAGCAAAAAACAACAGGCGTTTGTGATCCTCCAGGACCAGGAGTGGGGAAACCCCCCGTTCTACATGGTGAGCAGCACCTTTGTGCAGTTGGGCAGGGTAGCGAGTGACATCGTCACTTGTACATACAAAGTTTTCTAAACACATATATCCATCATTCTGATTCATCTGTTATTTCTTTTTTGTTTTGTGCTCTGACTGCATCTTCTGACATGAAGAAATCTTTGGCTCATGTAATGGGACCCTCTTGCTGGGCGACCATAGGACCAGCTATCTTAGAGCCTCCTTCTGCTGCCACTCTTATTCTACACGTTTAAACTTAAAGGGAAACTACAGTCCCAATTTCTCAGACCAGTTATTAAATCTCAGTAACAAAATACATTCATTGACATGAATTACTAATGACGTAATGACAAGTGCAGTGTGATGTACGAGAGAATAAATACAGGTTGTGCAGGAAACGTTTCACCACAGAAATGTTCCAATGTGATCTGCAGGCAGAGTTAACAAATACGTCTCGAAATCAAAAGCAATATTTCTGTTTGATTTAAAGAGATGTATTCACAAGCCTGTTTGTTTACAAAGGCCTCAACACGTCACCGAATGTTTTGTTGCCTCGTTCTAAATTGTAGAACGTGGGTCTGCTCATACCTGGAAATTGTCTATTTTGTGATGTAAATTGGAGGTTTTACAAGTCACTGTATACATTTTACTTTTATTATGGTTTGAAATGCACTTATCAATACTGATTCTTTCTAACCCCAAAATATGAAAATAGCAGTTCCCCATTAAAGTACCAAAGACCTTCTGCAGCAAAACTGAAAAAGTTGTTTATTTTCCCTTTAAGAGACTCTAGTAGTTACTATGAGGAAATAAAGTATCACATTTTTCCTGTTTACTCTAAACAGCTATTTTGTTTTACCCATCAGATGTATGACATTCCTTTGTGCTACAAACTTAAATCTTGATTTATATGTTTCAACCAGATGATGGAATAAAGTCTTATTTTGATTCCTTTCAGAAAATGATTTTTCACTCTTCTGACACACAATTCACACTCCATGAGTCATTAAAATAATTAAATGGACTGTTATTTTATGTTTTTAAAATATGATTTTTTTTAATAGTCCTACATTATTATACAGGTTGTTTAATAGGTGTTATGTTCTTAACACAACATGTACTTTTTAATCTCTTTTCAGTCACAGTCTCCTGTTTTCCTGTTGTTTTTGGAGTGTGTCTGGCAGTTACTGCAACAACATACTCCAGCATTTCAGTTTTCTGAAACCTACTTGACTGTCCTGTCAGATAGTATCCATGTTCCTCTCTTCAGCACATTCCTCTTCAACTCTCTGTGCCAGAAGGACTCTGCCATGAAGGTAAGAAGAGCTAAAAGTTAATATCCTTAAAACTGATGTTCCAGACAGAGCTGGATTACCAACATTAATAAATCCATTTTCTCACCCATTTGAAGTACCATGCTACTTTACTTATTCATCTTCAGAGAAATACAGCTTTCAGCAAGAATTTAAGCAGTCTCATTCGAAGTTAATGTGCAAACCATCATAAGACTTAGGTTATTAAGGTAAAATCAACCTTGGCATAGCAGAACATTATTCTTTTCTGTGATGACTCATGATGCAGTTTGGAAAATGATGGAGGAAATATGGTCTTCAATGTGGCATTTGAAATAAATTCATATAGGTGTTTCAACCTTTTGTTATATGAATGGGGCAATCATGGGTGACTATACTCAGATCCAAATGATGGGTAGAAAGATGTGATTCTTTTTTGCAACATCTGTTGGTGCAAATATTTTAGCAGACTTGTTTAGCTAGCCTGGCCAACTGCTTTTACAGAGAAAGATAGTAAAATGGATAGGCCATCAAGGCTGTTTGTGATCAATGCCATTCAGCATGACTGAGATGCGCTTTAAAAATGGAAATAAATTTACAGCTGGCTAAAATCCTGAAAAAAACATTCCCCTCCTTATCAGCTCTTGGATTTTTAACATACCCTACTATTATTGGGTTGAATGTGTAGCTCAGGGTGATGAGTGTTTTAATGCCACTGTTGAAATAAAAAAGTGGTAATCCTATTTTGTCCTTAATTAGGGCCCCTTTCCCATTTGACAGTAAGTTAAAGTTGTTGTTGTTTTGATTCTAGAATTAGAATGTTCTAGAATCCAGGCCTTTATAAGGTATCAGAGACGTTTCACATTGTGTTTTGAGAGCATATCTGTATGATTTATGGAATCATCTATGGTGAACATGGTTTGGTTGTTGGGTGTCCAACAAACACTGTGATTGTTTTTAATGAAAAGTCCAAGCCTTATGGGAAAACAAAAAGTTTGCCCCTTGAGCATTTTAGAATAAAAGAAATTGCCCATAACCCAGAATGACTGATGCACATCTATTGCAAGAATAACCTAGTTGTACATTGACAATGGAGCAAAATTCTGGATTCTACAGAATAGTCTGTGATCCGACATGAAATCCAGAGCTAACCGAAAAGTTCTGATGGGTCCTGAAAGCTGGTAAGCACAGAACTCTTCAGCACAGAATACACCAGATACAAGTTTTCCATCTTTTATGTACCCCAGCTCACGGAGAGGCAAATACTAGACAAATCTTTAACACCATCATACTGCTATATATAGCAGAAAAACAAATCTTCTGGAATTGGTGGTATGCCAAAATACAATAAAAGTACAAGAAAAATGTTACGAAAAGATGTATATCGCCTTCATAGACCTCACCATGGCACTGTAAGCCCCGACAGCCTGAGAAGATTCTTCAGAAGTCTACATATCTGCCCGAATTCCTAGCCATCATCCAGTAAATGAATGCAACAGAACAGGGTCAATAAAACAGTGATGGCTTTTTTTGTCATTAAGTAATAAAAAAGAGGGCTATGTGCCCATTTGAATTCTTCTGACAGTTTTCTTCAATGTGATGCTGGAAGAAGTAACCTTATAACTCAAAGACAACCTAACAGCTCGTCCATGAACTACCGTTTGTGGACATTTCAGTCCTGAGGGATTATACTCAGAGCAGAGCTTTCCAACTTCACAGTCACCCTAAGGAAAACATGAAATTATGCACCTGCCAGTGCTGTGGCAGAACTGCAAACCACCCACAAATTAGCCATTGAGGGAACAAAGTTGAGTGGTTCACATACCTGGACAGCTTTACTTCAGTGTTTTAAGATACAGGTACTGTAGAAGTAGGTACTGAAGTTTTACATTTTGTCCTGTATGCTGCATTCTTCACTTACTGTTATCATCCTGAACATCAGCTGCAAGAACTGGTCGGCAATGTGGAGAAACAAGCCAATGTCAGCAGCTGAGAAACCAGTCTTTGGGGAATCCAGATGTGTTGGGCATGAAATGTAAAGTGGATGGCCAACTGCTGTCTTCCTAAGATTATTCTAAAAAACTCCTATAAGCACTCACTGAATGTCTAATTGCGTTTGACCTCTATTCTTGAAAAATACAAGCAGCAGTGACCCCTGGTGACAGTATGTGCAAAGCCTGTTTTCAAATCCATTACAGAACCAGACTAGAAGAGAAGCTGGAATTAACCAGCTCTCTTTGTCTGCAGCCAACAATATAAGTGTTGTCACTGCTGTCCAGCTTCCTGTGCTGCCTTCTCAAATCTTTAGCCATTAGCAAGCCTTCAGTCAGCAGGGACATTTACCTTCATAACAGCTTTTCTGTTTCGTTGAGTTTCTTGGACATTGGCATACTTTCAGTATTTTATTTGTAAATGTGGAATTTGTTGTATCCGTGTCCGGAATGTAAATGTATAATGTTAACTTGAATGTGAAAACTGTGTTTTAAAAGTTTTGTCACTTAATTATTAATTAACCAGCTTTTGGTTACATACCTTAGTTAAGGTTCCAAGCAATAGATAGAAGTCTTTACAGTTGTAAGGATTTTAATTATGCGGCAGTGACTGGAAAAATATTCCAATTTTGAGGATCATTTTCTTTCTGGTTTTGGAACAGCTGCTGTTCAAAGACTGTATAGTCTTGACAGAAATTCAAATCCTTGAATTTCTGTCAAAACCATGATAGTGGCCTAAGGTGTTTTCAAAACACCTTTCAAACTCTTGTGAACTGCCACATCAACTGAATTGAAAATTGGCACACTTCAACAACAGCCAAAAACTTGCACCTGAAATGATTTTAATTTTTATGCTGACTGCAGGTCATACAGTTGTGTGAAATATGGCCCATTAAGCAAACTAATTCTGCTCAAACACTGTGGGGTCTGTTAACTCCAAGTTTTCAAGGTGTCACTCTGGTGTCAACATGATGAATATCATAGACTGCAGATGGCCACCTGGCTGCTTTTTTATTTCATTATTGATATCTGTTTTGTAGTACTACTGTAGTTCCTGCTGTAAAAAATGCACTTGCCCAATTCCTTTCAAATATGGTTACATTTCTCTCTGGGAAGAATGCCATTATTATCTGATGCACTTCCGTTCCTGAGTATGTTGAGATGCCTCTGCACATTGGAAGACATTTTGTTCTGACACTTCAAGGTGTTTCTGTCTTGGCAGCCACTACACAACACTCAATGATATGAAAGTGATCAGATTTAATTAATGTGTAGAGCTGCTTAGAATTCTCACCTAAAAATCTGTTGTAATAAATTTTCCACCTATAGCACATCCTCAGATGGGAGCTGTTATGCAAAAGGCACCTGTTAAGGACTTATTGATCAGTTAATTCCAAATGTAGTAGTTTCTGGTGACCCCCTGGACATACCAGTGTTGACAGACCGCCAAGTGTTTATAGAGTTCAAACTGCCATTACACTGACTGACATTACACAGGTTTTCATTACACCTACTGTAGATCTGCTTCAGAACTGCATCCCACAGGCTGCCGAAATATTGCACATGTCCAGACCAAGTCACCATGTGCTAGATGAAACACTATGTGATGTTAACTGTTCTACAAAAGCTGTTTAGCCAATTAACTTTGACAAGCTTGAATTAAGTTTGACAGGTGTCATTCTAATGACACTGCAATGACAATATAGTGAAAGTTCCCGTCAACCACATTTTCTTTCACCAGTTAATACATATCTACATTGATCTTTCTTAAAAATGTCTCCACAACTGCTATTTTTTTCTCAAGATTCTGACTGTCACTGATTTAGATTCCTGTATGTGACTTCAGACTTGCATTTTGCATATTGCAACCCACAGTTTTAACACTCACAATGAGTCATCGCACACTCGGCAAAACACTCCCCATACTGCTAACTACTCTCCAGAAATTGTTTGGCCAATCAGCTGTAAACATAAGACAAGATCACTTTATTGGCCATATACAATTTCTTGTATGAGGAATTACATGAGACAGGGAGAGAAGCTTGGGGTCAGAGCTCAGGTTCAGCCATTTATACGGCTGGAGCAGTCGGTGTTAAGGGCCTTGCTCAGGGGCCCAACAGAGTAGGATTCCTCTGCTGGTTGCGAGATATGAACCGGCAACTTTCCAGCCACAGGCACAGAGTCACCGCACTGCCCCCATGATAGGTATCATTCTAGTTTTCCCTTAATATACTTGCAGTCCACTCTCTCTGTCAAGGTAGCAGGTATGGATCCTGGTTGTAGTGGTTAAAATGCTCCCTTGAGTAATGAGGGAAAAGTGTTCCTGGAAATCTAGTGCTTCATAAAATCTTAGATTTAAGTTGCTCTGTATAATGTCTACAGTTTCACTATTGTGCAGTTACAGAAGAAAACACATCTCCCATCAAATGATCAAACATAAAATGGAAAAGCTGCCTTGAGAAATAACTGGAAGCAATAACCTTTTGGTAAAACAACTACATATTAATGACTGCTCTACTAAATGTTTAACGCTGAAAAGTTACAATCTTTAACTGCTGTCACACTTAGTGATTTTTTTTCCTCAAGTATTCCATTAAAATGAATAGCTTTTTAAGTGCCATACACTCAAGATACATTATACAGGTCTTTTCTGTAAATCAACAGAAAAAAATGAAAACTGTCAACGACAGTTTACTGACTATATGATTGTATTTGGAAATTGTGTTTTTTTTTTTTCATGTAAGCGCAATCATTTATCTGGACTTCTCTACTAAAGTTTTGGACATTTTTTTAAACTTTCCATTGGATGCTGCTGTGCAGCCTGTGAATGAATACTTGCTTATTTTAAGGCTAATTTGTCTATGTTGTGCAGATGTTTGGAGTGAGCTGCCTGGCAAACCCTGCTTGCCAGTTTACAGTCTCTGCTTGTTTTGGCAGTTTGAGTCTCCAGAAGCACAAAGGAACCCCTTGACATTTCCCACAGTATGGGATTGGTCACTGCAGTTTGATTGCAAAGCCCAGGATTTCTTCACTAACCCTCTTTATGTGGAGAAGCCAAAGCAAGAGAAAGCATCTAGGAAAACGCATCGCCCGAAGGTAAATGTTACAACAATAATGTGTCTTTTTCAGGAATCCAGTCAGGTTGACTTAATGTAGTAGTACGCCATAGGAGCATTACAGTGAAGTTCTGATTTTGTTTAAATCACTAATTTATTGCTTAGTGTTTGTATAAAGGTCCAGCTTAATCAAATTTGATCTAAATAAATAAGAATAATCTGCCCTTCTACATTAAGTATGTGTATCTCAAATCTTTAATTACTTTCACTAATATATTTGTCATTACTAAATACAGTATCTTGTACTGTATATATTTCTGACTGCTACACTTTAGTACATCTGTGGTTAGAAACTTAAAATTGCAGTGAAAATAAGCAGTAGTGCTAAACATTTTAATGAGTGTTATTTGGCTCAGTTCCTTTAGATTACTCTGTTTTTTCCTTTATTTCTCAAATAATGTTTAGTATACCGTAACACTTTGGAAGCTAAATGTTTATTTTGAGGGATTTTCAAACATTTTCCAAGTGTGGCAGACAGAGCATACGTTTCCCATTATACTTCCCCCCCGAATCAGAAGCCACTCAGCAAAACTGAAGATATAACCTCTACTTGTAAATTCAGGGAGGATAACTTTACTTTAGACTGATGCTGCAATCCTTTTACAGTCTCTCCAGCAGTGAAACAGAAGTCAGGCCCATTGTGGTGTTCATGTCTGCAGTGTGATTCTTCAGGAACACTGTGCGCTGTTCAGATACCATCCTGATCACTGCTAATACCTCCTCTGTTCTCCAAATCAGAGACTCTAGTGTTCCTTGTTAAAACATGAGTTAGAGAATCTGATCTACTCAGGGGAGCTAGCTATTGCCCAGCAGCACGTAAAAGGATCCTAATATCCTGCTGCTCTGCATACAGTATACTTCAATATTGTTAGTAGTAAGTAGTTAAGTTGTATTTTTAAATGACAGGACTTTTCAGCCTGGGATTTTTAAATCCAGTTTAGGGAGCCTGCTGAAATAGGGAAACTACATCGCTACATCTCTAGATCTAGTAACTCTGCATCTGCTGTGACCATTTGAATTGGGCTTTTGGTCTTTGTTTTGCTTGTGACATTTTATTAATAGTAGCACTATTTGGTTTGAATAGTTTTTATAACAGAATCTCTTTAGACAAGATTTGAAAGTATGTACTGGAACTCCAGACACCACTGGTGGACTTTAATTCCTTGCTTCTGATTATTAAAAATCCTTTGCCCTGTCTGAGAAATTATGAGAAAATATTCCTGTGAATTGTTTGCACTCTGTTACTCCCTGGTGAGAAATAAAAATGTAATCTCAAAACATGTATTCATAGTGGTTGGATAACAAATGTATGAGATCTTTAATTCTTTCTCCTTTTGCTTTTGCCTATAAAGCACCAGAGACAACTGTCTTTGCCAGCTACGCCTTTCAAGTCCTCTCCAAGAAGAGGTTTCTTTAAAGAAGAAACTGACAGCCTGAAAAAGATACTGCTAGGAAAGAGGATCACCAAATGGATACATTCCCCTGAGGCATCTGCACTGACAGCCAGAGACTTCTACCAATCATGGCAGAGGAAGCCTCTTGACTACCATGGCCTCCTGCTCCCATGTCTGGATGGTCCTGCCATCAGAGTCTGGATGCAGAGATACCTGCGCTGGATTCCTGACTTGCAGATATTTGGAGGAGGCTCAGTGTCCATCATGACCAAAATCTGGGATCTAGTAACTGAGATCCAGGTCCTGCGGGATGAGTTAGACTGGTGTACTTCTAACTTGCAATTCAGCAACCAGAAGAGAGAGGTGTGCCCTAAGTTTTCTGCCCGTATGTCCTCCTCTTTTCCATTTTTTTCTTCACACAACAGGTCCTTCAAGCCTGTCATTCCCACAAGCCTTCTCCAGAGCATGATGATTGGGGGGACCTTGGTTGATAAGGAGGATGAAGACACCGAGTTTTTAGGAGTTGTTTAGGACGAACATGTGAATCCTGTGTTATTCAACCATTGTGACAATCGCCTCAATAGGTTTTTATCTCTAAAAGGTGTTATCTATAGGAATTCTTTGTACTGGATATGCAGTTTGTACCCTGCTGTACAGAAATGAGGTTTGAAACCACAGATGCAAGCATTAATATTTTAAATTCATAAAACAAAAAAATCTTAATTTCTAGGCCTTCTTTGCTATACTTTTTCCAGAAATAAAGTAAATCTTTGTCTTGATTGTCAACTAAAAGATTTACCAAAAATGTGTCAGTAGAAAATTCAGATATTATTTTAGTAAAAATGGCAGTTCTCTAAGATCAGTAGAATCTTGTATAACCAGGGCTCTCGAACACTGCTCCTGCAGAGCCCCTATCCCAGCTAGTTTTATTGGTAGCCATTAAATCAGAAATGTCTGAAGACCTGGAACAATTTAACTGTAATCTCACAAAGTTGAGTGGTTTTTACAGTAGAGATGGTTTTTACAGTAATTTCAGCACCAATTAAAACAAAACAAGACCCTTAAGACCCTTGTTCCCTAGGGGTCTAAAGTTCCCTTAACAAATTTCTTGATAATATATCAATAACTTACAAGTGTACCTCATCTTAAAAAACAGGTGATTTGGGGTAAGCTACCACCTGTTTGACCAGGATGTTATGATGTTATGACCAGGATAGAGACTCTTGCATTAAACCATTACAAAATACTCCACAATCTCTTAACTGCAACACTTTTTTCAGCATACTTAGTTCAAAGGCAATTTGAAGTCCATCATCCATTTTCTAACTGCTTTGTCAAAATCAGGATCTTGAGGGAGCCTGAGCAACATCCTGGCAAGCAGCGAGAGCAAGGCAGGATACACCCTGGGTGGAAAGCCCGTCCACCTCACAGACACAGACACAGACATGCAGACACTCACACCTGGGCTAACTTTCCTAGAAGCCAATGAATATACCAGTATGTCTTTAGACTCTGTGAGGAAACCGCAGCACCAAGCTAAAACCCATGCGAATGGGGAGAGAACATGCAGATTCCTTGCAGACAGCACTCCAGGTCCAGAATCGAACCCTGGGCCCTAGTGCTGCAAGGCTGCAATGCTAACCTCTGTGCCACTGTGCTGCCCTCCAATTTGAAATGTTTTTTTATAACTCTTGGAGATATTCAATTGTTTTCTGGTGCTGACAATCAGGAAAGAAGATAATTGACCTGCATGCTTCATTACTATTAAGTCACCTTTTTTAACTTTATATGAGCTCTGGTTTTACCTGGTTTTTACCTACATTCTTTCATTAGAAGCAGATATGTTCTCGTCATGTAAGTGTGTAAAGCAAAAGCTGAGCCTAAGTGACATACATTGCAAAGCAGATAAATATATAACCGTGATTAAAAAAAAACGTTTTTTTTTTCTTTAAATGTTAACTTGCAGGGAAGAGGCGATCATTGTTGCTTTGAAAGAAGTGGTCTAAGAAGAAATTACACCATATCCACAAACTATTCCATACTTATTTATAATAATGCTTATTTGTAATACTGAATTTAATACTATGTAGAGCGGTTGCAGGCAGCTGCAAGCAGATTAAATTGATGCATAAAACTTTCACCCTTTCCTAAAGTTGTTTTAAGTAAAATAAATCTCTTGACAAACTTGTCCAATCTGTGAGATTTCTTACTGTATAGCATGGATCAAACAAGTATTTACAGTGCATTTAAATATTGTCTAATAAGGTTTTTGATCCTAAAGAAGCTGATAAAGAAGCTTAATGTATTGAGAGTACTTTTTTATTTATATAAAGTGTCTTGATTTTCACATCTTTCTTGAATAAATATGAAAATAACGTGGCTGTTGCGTATATTAAATATTAATGTATATTTATGGGAGTTGAAAAAGAAGAAATAGAATAGACTCTCTTCTGCTCCTTTTCCAGTGAATGGAGCTAGAATATAGTGGCTACCTTTTTTACATCCTGTAGTTCCTGTTGTGCCATCTACTGGTTGTTATTGTGAACTGCTAAAATTTAAAGTTAAAGGAGGTAACTTTGTTCAGGAGATTTTAACTGGTGTTCAAACTCAAACATATATTGCAAAAGGAGGTTTAAATAAATTGATATTTGTACCATTTGTCTCCAGCAAACTAAACATTTTGCACTGAATTGTTCCAAATAATGTCTGGTCATTCCCTTGGGTGGAAAATGCCCTCTTAAGAATTGTTTTTATTTTTGTTGTTCATTGTTTCAGGTTTATTTTCATACTCCTCCAAATGTTTACGCTGAAATCTGCAATAAGACTTCAAATCCTCTGGGGTAAATGTTGTAAAAAATACATTTATGGTGTAATGTTACTTTTTTCATATGTAGTAGGAAACATGACTTTAGCAGGGAACCAAAGCTTAATTGCCATCTTACTGTCAAAACACTGTATGGAAAATTTCAGCTGTCTTACTACTGGAGGATGCAGCTACCTAATTACCAAGGTTGATGCACTTAATTGCGATGCACAATCAATATTTCTTTAAAGCTGTGGTGTCTTTTTAGCTGATTTTATGTCTGTTACATATTTGTAATTTAATGATGTAGCCTTAATTCTTAGAGCACTGCAACAAAATGAGGATTAAATGTATTTATGTTTGGCACTGGTATTATGACAAAATAAGCTGTTACTCTACATTTTCTTATAGCTCTTTTAATTTTATCTATCATGTGCCCTGCTGTTCCCTGTCAGTCAGTGACACACTGAAATTACTGTTTTATACTGTAAACAGGGATGCAATTAAATGTATTGAAATGTGATCTATATTGAGGAAAGTTACTTCATGATATTGAAGGTGAAGGATATAATTTAACTTAATTTTTTTTATTTTAACCGCTGATGTTGAATTTGCTGTTATTACGTATTTCTGATCTTGAAATTAAAGTGAGAAATTTGTTTTTTTTCTGTTTCTGTGCATTTGAAACTTAAAAATCCTTTTTGTAATAAATTCTGACCAGTGATTACAGCTATTTTTTTTCTTTGTTCAGTTACTTTAAAATTTAAAGCTTATATTTACATTTATTGGACTTTATTTGCAAATGGATTCACGTTTGTATAATGTGGCTTTCGATGTGAATGTTTTTAGAACATTGTAGGATACTTTTTGTAGAAAGAAATTTGTAAAGAGTTAGTATTAAGAGAACACTCAGTTGCACTCAGTGGCTAAAAAATAGGGCTGAAATGTTGAAAATGTTAACAGTTATAGTTTCTTCATTATATTGAAAAACATAATAAAAAAAGAAAGACTAATTCATTTTTCAGCAGGCTTGCATTAGAGTTGGTGTGGTGGCTCTGTGGCTAAGGATCTGTGCCTGTGGCTGGAAGGTTGTCGGTTCATATCTTGTGGCTGGCAGAGGAATCCTACTCCGTTGGGCCCCTGAGCAAGTCCCTTAACCCCAACTGCTCCAGGGGTGCTGTATAAATGGCTGACCCTGCACTCTGATGCCAAGCTTCTCTCTCCCTTTCTGTGTGTCTAATGGAGAGGAAGTTAGGGTATGCAAAAAGACAAATTCCAATTACCTGTACAAGAAATTGTATATGGCCAATGAATTGATCTTATCTTAAAATTGATCTTAGTTTTGATTTTCTGACAGCTAGTCCTTTGTTTTAAAACCTACCTTCTGGAAAGAGATCATGACTGGGGTATAACATGGTGTTGTTAAATCTTTTCTTGTAGGCATAACTCCCACTTTATAGTACTTTTTCAACACCATGGGGAAAATATCCACTTCAAATGTTAATGGATCCTTCAGCTATATTTCCCTAGTGAACATAAAATTTATTGGATCTAATTTCCTTTGTAACACAAAACAAAGTCTTTTCCATTCATCCGTTTTCTGACTGCTTCATCATATTCATGGTTGAGGGGGGGAGTCGAAGCCTAACCTGGCAAGCAGTAGGCACAAGGAGGGGTACCCCTGAACAGGACGCTAGTCCATCACAGGGCACGCACAGATACAAACGGACTCACACCAGAGCCGGATTTCCCAGACGCCAATTAACCTACAAGTATGTCTCTGGACTGTGGAAGGAAACTGAAGCACCCGGAGAAAAACAACACAATCATGGGGAGAACATACAAACTCCACACAGACAGCACCCCAGGTTGAGAATTGAACCCAGGGCCCCAGCACAGCAAGACGGCAATGCTAACAACTGTGCCACCATACCAATTATGTTTTATGTTACTGTCAAATATTTCTAATTTAAATATCCCATTAGAAGTTTTTACCCCAGGCAGATGTTCCAATCTGCACGTTCTCTCTTAAACTCAAAACATGCTCTCTTGTTTGCAGGCCTTGGAAATAGTTTCTTGACAATATCTCTGCTATATTCTAAATACTTTCAGTTTATACCAAACTGTAACTGAGGATCCACTTAGTTTAATCTTTAAAACTGTCAGTTTGCTTCCTGTCTCCTACGCATGTCCTCTCCATGTTAGTTTTGTAGCTTAACTGAGTATACCTGCAATTAGACTTTACTTTCTTACAACCTGACACCTAGTAGCAATTCTTATGCTATACTCATCTGCTGAGTCTTCTCATGCATTTATTGCCAGTAATCTTGGAAGTAAGAATCCTGAAAATACTTGATGAAATTCTGATTTTAATATTTGTATTTTGTTTAGGTACAAATGATTTATAATTGCTGTTGGGTGCTTTTTCACCATAGTAAGTAATACTTGGTAAGACCACCTTTGGCAGCTGTAAGTCTCTTTGGATCTCTATCAGCTATTACACCAAACATAAAGTTCAATTTTGGTCTCATCAGACCATAGAGTCTTCCTCCAAATTGTTGAGTCTCTCACATGCCTTTGGGCAAACTCCAGCCTAGATGTGATATGAGTTTTTTTCAACAAAGGCTTTCTTCTTGCCGCCCTTCCATACAAGCCAGATTTATGAAGTGTGTGTGCTATTGTCTCATACACAGTTTCTCCCTCCTCTGTCATGGAGGACTGTAACTCCTTTAGAGTTGCCTTAGGCCTTTTTGTAGCCTCCTTTCCTGTAGTTCTTCTTGCATTCAATTATTTGCTGTTTTTTAATTTTATTTAATTTAGTAAAATGTCTGGAGTACTTTGTGTTGTGTTGATGAGTGGCAAAAATTCTCAGTTAAATACATCATGGTTCCATGCTGTAACACAATAAAATTTGAAAAAGTCCAAGGGGGGTGCAGACTTTCTTTCTATAGGCACTGTTTATAAATTATTTTTCTAAATATTTATTCAGATTTACAATACTGTACCAGTCCCACAAATACAACTAGTTTAAAACTAATATGAACTAAATGACTAGTTTTAAACTAATCAAAGTTGGTTTCTCTTGCAAATAACAGCTTACAGCTTGAATTTAACTTTAACATTGACATTCAACAACAAGGACTATTTTTTAGATTTTAATATAATTTATTAAAAAAGTAATACAATCATTTAAAACTGTGAGTTAAGAATGAATACATTTCAGTAGGTTTTACAGACTCGGAAGCAATATTGCGAGTGCTTTTAAAATGTCCTTTGGTTTATGGATCCTATTGGTTCATTGGTTATTGGTGTGACAGGAATCTGGCTGATGGATGATATGAAATCACTGGGTAATGCATCATTATGTTATATTCTAAAGGTCTTAAAATTGGAATAGTTCTTTTGCTACAGATGATTTCAGAATGTTAAATTGCAAAGCTCTCGGAAGAGTAAATGATCTGCAACTATTCAATATAGTGGAATAGAGGTAGTGAATCTAAATAGCTACAGTCACGATTTTGTAGACTTGCTGTTTTATATGTGGTTGGACTAAGTGTTTTTTTTTATCAAACAGATTTATTTCATGTGTTTGTTTACTGTTGATTCCCTGATACATTCCTTGGTTTTGTGATACCCTGCAAATGAGTTAGGTGCTGTTTAAATGTGTAAGGATCAAACCAGTTGTCTTTCTTTATGCATGACATACTGTATCCTGCTACGTAGTTACTGTAATTGTAGTGTAAAGGACAGTCCTCCTCAACATGAACTTGAATTTCTGAGTTATTTATGTAAAATATTTACATATTTTCTGACAATGATTTCAACCACCAGAGAATTACATTTGCATTTATTTTAGATCCAGTTTATATTTTAGTGCCTGCTTATTACATTATTACATCTGACAGATAGGTGCTCCCCTATGTGAGAGCCAAATAACCACACATGAGAGGATCAAAAGAATAGCATTGTAGATCTTCCTCTTCAGGCAAACGTTTTTAAACATTAATCATTCACAACATTTTCTCCAGGACATGAAATGACATGAGAACCGAATAAGTGCCAGAATTCAAGATGAAAGAAGTAGAGTAGTATGATAGCGTTGTCTTCCACAACAACAAAAAGCCTAGGGTTGGCCACTATATGACAGAGGCAGGAGTTATGGATGTTGCCCTGGCTTATTTTTTAATAAAGACAATTTTATAGCCAACCTGGGAATGAAACCAAGTCTTTCAGGAGAACTTCTCCAGTTTGGGAACTATTTCAATTGTGGACCAAGTGTCCAGTTGGAGGAGCTGCTTCTTTTTTGACTAAATCAGTGATCCTCACTCCTGGTTCTAGAAAGGCATAGGGTTTTCTATTCTTCCTTTCTTCTGAGCCCCTAATGACTCTATTTAATCAATAACTGACTTTTTTTTCTACGTTTGTACTTATTGAAGGGTTCGTGTTATCTATAAAACCTGCAGGTCTGAGAGTGAGAATCACTGGACTGAATGTCTTCTTGACCTTGCTGTCAGTGTAGGTATGTGGAACACGCTCTAACAAGTATGAGGGCTTTTCAGAAAAATCCACATCAAACATATCTCAGTCTGATGAGACTGGAAAATCACAAATGTAAACATTGCACACTAGTGGTTACAAGCAACTACCAAAACAACAGTTCTTTGCTTATTAAAACTGAAAAGGTCAGTTTTGGATTTGACATTAGGCTTGAAGAGATGTGCTTGTCAAGCTGCAATATTTTTAGTTGAAAAAAAGAAAATGTCAATCTTCTCTTATATACAGTACAATGGTTTTATGGTTTACTCATTATTGCTAATGTCTACATTCTATACAGTATCACAACAATTCTATATGGTATCCTTCTCTGTAAGCACTAATAAGAGTTGCTGTTTCCATACTAACTGGAAAACTGTAAATTTACTGTTAACACCACCAGAATTTACTGTTACCTACTGTACAGTACATGCATTTGTACTGTATAATAGCGCTAGCTTTCCTCAAAGACAGACAATACTTTTGACTTCCCTTCTATCCTGTTATGTTGTGGTCTTCCAATCATTTGTGACTATGGTGTTGAGCCCTGTGATCACACAGCAAGTATAAGCACTGGTCATTGTATTATTATAATAACAATAATAATAATAATAATAATAATAATTATTATTATTATTATTATTATACACGATTTTATAAAGTGCATTAAAAAATAGTCTCAAAGCACTTTAAAGGAAAAGTAAGAAAATGAATGATCAATTTAGCACAAAGAAATACAAGATTAGATTGTATTTTAGACATGTAGCAGAAGATGCAAAGTTCAGACACAGACCACAATTAAATTAAAGTCTTTCTGAAGATGACGGTTTTGAGTCTGGATTTGAATGCGCTCACAGTAGGTGACTCTTGATATTCTTGGGGATGGAATTCCAGAGAACTGGAGCCTTGTCTTCCATAAAGTGTAAGCGAGCTTGGAGGACAAACGGGAGACCAGAATCAAACGAACAAATGTTGTGAGATGTGGAGCAGGAAGATAAGGCAGATAGGTACTGAGGTGCCAGTGATGACTTGCATGCAACCTGGTCAGGATTCTGGCTGTCAAATTCTGGACATACTGAAGTTTGTTTAGTGTGGATTTAGATATGCCAATGAGTAGGGCATTACA